TGCATAAATGTGTGCATCCCAATTCATAGCACCGTTTTACTACCTACAAGTTTAACATTAATTCTGAAAATAGTCAGTATGAACATTGTCTAAACACTGATAGAAAAACAGAAATTTAGTGCAATCTTTACCAAAATGGACAATTCAGGGACTCACCCAAACCCCTAATGCTGATGTATCACCACCCTGTTCTACTTGGTGGATTCAAGGTACACTAACAACTTCGATTGTAGAGGGCGGTGTAGAAAGCTAGCAACAACGACCTGTGCTTCTTGATAGCTAAGTCCAGGTGGTGAAAAAACTTCAGAAATCTGTTTTTTGGTGGCATTTTCCTTTCTACAAAGCACCAAAGGGTCAACAATATCAATGTTGAGACCAAACGAAATACTAAAATGAAGCTTTTATTATTTCCTGGCGTAATTAGTACTTTACAGTGTCAGACTACTGCCATCTCTCTTTCTACGAGGGACCATTTACAGTGTTTCTGACTCTGCCGCTTCAGCTAATAAAATGACAGCATCTTGTCCCGCAGGCTCGAGGACGCATTGGAAAACTGAAAAAGTATAGTATAGATAACTAGAAAATTCCAAAGTAATTTTAAGAGTGTGGTCTAGACTGCCCGCTGGTGCCTGTGCATGAACGGCCAAGCAGGCAAGTGAAGACTAGCCACAAAAAAACGTAAGTCATTTCTCTTAGCCAGATAATAGCACACAATTCCCGATGGGTCCCGACAATCGCTGAAAGGTTGAGACAATTCCGAGCAACGGTGCGGGAGGAGATGCGTGCCAAACTTTTGTACGGAAGAAGAATAAAGCAAAGAAGCCCGAGAGATTACAAGGAGTTTGGCGACCATATGCAAACCTACGCCCTTGGGTAATGGTGTAAGTTGTCTCCCGTAAACATTCCAAAAGACCATATAAATGAAGGGACTGTGTTTTTGACCCCCCAATAAGATTAAGTCAAATATTGATGAATGGCGCTCGATACGTTTATTGAATTGGCATATTGCAGATTGGAAGTACATCTAAATTTAAATGGTGCGGACGGACTCGAGGTTTGGACGGTGTCCGGTGAAGCGGAAACATTGAATGAACGAAAATTGGTGTTGTAGTATTAGATAGTAATTGTCATTAGTATTAATCCATTAACGTCAATGTATGAATTAACTTTGATGCTAGCTAGTCAAACATCATAATTTATAAATATTTGTTCTTGCACGATGGCAATAGTCTTAATCATTGTTGTATATCCATGTCGTTTATATGGGTGGTTTGTAATGCTATATTTTGTTTTCAAAGTTTAAAACATAATAGAAAAGCTTCAATATAAAACCGATCCCTTGGTCTTTATCTACTGTTAGCTATCTGCTAAGCTTTCAGGTACAAAATACTTTTTGTCCAGTTGTTTATCAAGACATGTGAGCCATCTTTGTAGATTAAGTCTGAATATTTTGTAAAGCCTAAAAAGTTTTATATATATATATATATATATATATATATATATATATATAATTATATATATATATATATATATATAATATCGGTAAATATTTCTTTCAGGCAGACTCAGCAAGGTAAGTGCATTTCTGCTTCCCGCTAAATACAACAACATGTGATCCTTGCAACGTGGTCAGTAGATATGCATCTTGATGTCGGGTTTGAACTGAGCTCCTCCACTTCTGATTGGATCAACCAAGACAAATGCCAGTTAATGCCAGTGCTAAACAGGTCTGATAAGCGAAACTCATAGAATAATTAATAACTCGTAATTCATAGAAAAATATAAACTATACCTTTGATTAAAAAACTGTAACTAAAGAAATGACTTGCAACTTGAAATCACATTTAACCAGTTTATGGACATTTTTGCAATTTCTCAATCCATTGTAATGACTATATACTACAATAGTGAGTACACTATGCTGAACCTCCAGGAAGGTTAGAAAACAAGTGCGATCATACATTACCGTAAAAAAAAAAAACGATGAAAATTGAATATATTTGAATGCTGCAAACTTTAAAATACCCACACAATTATGCCTTCAGAAGGAATATAAACATGTAAAACAAATCTGAAATCCTTAAATTGAAATTCGGAAAAATAAAATAAATTATATTTTTGTTCATGTTGACATAATCAAAAATGCACCTTAAGTAAATTCCACGTCTAGTTCTTGTTTAATGGGGATTTTACGCCAATTGATTCAAGCTCATTGAAATCAAAACCTACAGGATGTTAATCTATTTGGGATGGAAAGGGTTATAATAACCCTAATCTTTTGCAAGCATCTACATCGGTCTGTTTTTCTTTTTTGCAAACCCTCTAGAAAGTGTAATCCCATCACTATATCGTCTGGAGCCTACTTATTCACCATCATTACAAGCACAGAACTTAACATGTGAGTACATCAAAAGCATTCCCACATACATCAACCTCATTCCCGTTTTGTCTTCAACTCATTCCTTAATCATATTTATGCACAGGGGTGAACTGGACAATAGCGGAACATCACATAATTAATCACTTGTGCTTTAAGTATATGCTCATTACTGGCAATTTCTGTCCCAGGCAGACTTAAAAATGTTCCTTGAAAATATATCTACTGACAACAGAGTACAACAATCACCTCTGCTGTTTACATCAGGGCAAATCAGGTTAAAAGCACACATTCAAACGCTTGGAGAAAAGCTTCATAGCCTCTACGCGGGACATTTTCCATCATTTAAGTTGACATCACTATCTTGTTGTTCATGAAATAGTTTGTCTCTTTGGGGCTTGGATATGGACTGGAGCTGTGTGTCAGTTTTGTAGCAGTAAATGTAAAAATGGATGCATTTATATTGAGAATTAATTATAAGAGTTTCAAGCACAGGACTGTCACCTAGCTTCTCCACTACTTCACGTTGAACTAATTAAGGGATAAACAGAATAAGACAGCTGTTTTGTTGAGTGACAGGGCACATTTAAGTATGTTATTAATAATGGGATCAAGCTAATTTAAGGAATTAACTAAATGTTTATGTTCATCATAATCCATTACTACTAAGATACTTTAAAAATAACAATATAAAAAGTTGCAAAATAATGACTAGAAAAAGTTATAATTCTAACTCACCTCTGTACCTGTGTCTTTTGTGTGTAAAGGAGAACTATTATTTTCCAAAGATTAGAAATATTCGAGTGAAGTCCAGATAGGACAAATTACGGTACAGTACAGTGCATATGGAAAGTATTCACAGTGCTTCACTTTTTCCACATTTTGTTATGTTACAGCCTTATTCTAAAATGGATTAAATTCATTATTTTCCTCAACATTCTACACACAACAACGCATAATGACAAAGTGAAAACTGTTTTGCGCAAATTTTTGCAAATCTGTTAAAAAAAAGAACGAAAACATAACATGTACATAAGTATTCACAGCCTTTGCCATGACACTCAAAATGTAGCTCAGGTACATACTGTTTCCACTGATCCTCCTTGAGATGTTTCTACAACTTGATTGGAGTCCACCTGTGCTAAATTCAGTTGATTGGACATGATTGAGAAAGGCACACACCTGTCTATATAAGGTATCCAGTCGACAGTGCATATCAGAGCATAAACCAAGCCATGAAGTCCAAGGAATTAGCTGTAGACCTCCGAGACAGAATTGTATCGAGGCACAGATCTGGCGAAGGGTACAGACAGATTTCTGCAGCATTGAAAGTCCCAATGAGCTCGGTGGCCTCACTCATCCGGAAATGGAGGAATTTTGGAACAACCAGGACTCTTCCTAGAGTTGGCCGCCCAGCCAGACTGAGCGATTGGGGGAGAAGGGCCTTAGTCGGGGAGGTGACCAGGAACCCGATGGTCACTCTGAGAGAGCTCCAGCGTTGTTCTATGAAGAGAGGAGAACCTTACAGAAGGACAACCATCTCTGCAGCACTCCACAAATCAGGCCTGTTTGGTAGAGTGGCCAGACAGAAGCCACTCCTCAGTAAAAAGGACATGACAGCCAGCCTGGAGTTTGCAAAAAAGCACCTGAAGGACTCTCAGACCATGAGAAACAAAATTCTGTGGTCTGATGAAACAAAGATTGAACTCTCTGGCCTGAATGCCAAGCGTCATGTCTGGAGGACACCAGGCACTGCTCATAACCTGGTCAATACCATCCCTACAGTGAAGCATGGTGGTGGCAGCATCATGCTGTGGTAGTCAGGATTGAGGGAAAGATGAATGCAACAACGTACAGAGACATCCTCGATGAAAACATGCTCCAAGCGCTCTGGACCTCAGACTGGGGCGATGGTTCATCTTCCAACAGGACAACGACCGGAAGCACACAGCCAAAATAACAAAGGAGCGGCTTCGGGACAACTCTGTGAATGTCCTTGAGTGGCCCAGCCAGAGCCCTGACTTCAACCCGATAGAACATCTCTGGAGAGATCTGAAAATGGCTGTGTACCGACGCTCCCCATCCAACCTGATGGAACTTGAGAGGTTCTGCAAAGAAGAATGGGAGAAACTGCCCAGAAATCGGTGTGCCACGCTTGTGGAATCATACCCAAGAAAACTTGAGGCTGTAATTGCTGTCAAAGGTGCTTCAACAAAGTATTGAGCAAAGGCTGTGAATACTTATGCACATGTTTTCGTTTTTTATTTTTAACAGATTTCCAAAAAACATTTTTCACTTTGTCATCATGGGTTGTGTGTAGAATGTTAAGGTAAATAAAGAATTTAATCCATTTTGGAATAAGGCTTTAACATAACAATGTGGAAAAAGTGAAGCGCTGTGAATACTTTCCAGATGCACTGTACATGAATAAATGTACTTAGTTACACTAATGTCATTCACGTGAGTGAAATGAACGGAAAACTTGCACCGTCAAACATTAACTCCAATGTGCTTTTAGTGCATTTCCAAAGACATTTTAAGGGTGTATTGTACAATTTTTCTAATTAAGGATCAATGACAAAAGGGGGGGGTAAAAAAAAAATTCATGATGTGCTCCAACCAGTTCGATCAAAATGTTTTACTGCAGCAAATTAAGCGGCATGCTGACCAACCCTTTTGTCCGCCATGTGAGTGTTGAGTTTTAGTAGCATACTGTGATGTAAATATGCCTTGAAGCTGCTATGACACCTTGATTAGGTGTTTCAAAAATGTATATTTGATGCCGCGTATGCCATTAGAAAAAAACCCGCAGTGCAGGAATACCACGTACACATTTGTACATTTTCTACACATAGTAAGAAATTAAAAAGTGGATGCACTATGCTTTTGGACTTTGCCTGAGAAAATCATGAAGTACTAGTTTTATTCCAAACTGTTTGTAATGGATCTGTTACTGTTTTGCATACAACTGTAAAAATACAGTAAAATTCAACAACCACGTTGCTTTTTTCCCCTTTTTCTTGTTTACTTAAAAAAGCTTAATGGTATTGTACAGATATTGAACAGGACATGACAATAATAGTAATCTGAGTGTACACTTTAGTATTGGGCAATAAACAGTCAACTATCAACAGTTACATGTATTTTCTTTTTTCCATTTCACATACAAAAGAGTTTTTCAGGGCAGGGGTCACAAACTCAGTAGCTCTAGCATCATCAAATTAGTGCAGTATTTTTAATTTTTCACCTTGCTCAGATTGACACCGCTCTCTCTTGGCGAGCAAAAACGAAACACCACTCTGATCAACGGCAGAAAGAAAAATTAAGAAAACTAAGGGTGAGCCACTGACACTTAAATTTCCATTCTCATCATATCGGACTAATAGTCTGTTCTTGCTGCTCAATGCTGAGAGAAGCTTGAAGGTCTTCACGTTTCACATCAGAACTTCAGCAGGTAGAGTGAGGTCATCGTCAACAGGAGGCATACAGAGGCACGGGGCAACACGGCCGCCCCGTTCACATTGTGCATCGCACCAGGACCTGCAGGATAACAACAATTCAGCTTCTTAAACTAGTGCTTGAACTTCAACTCTGCTTCTAGGCACTGTGATTAACTGGAACTCAAATCTTCATGTAGATCTGTGAGGCAAGAAAGAGCAATTGCCAGAGAAAATAGTTAGGATTGCATTATTTCTTACGTGTGCGGCTGCTTAGGCATGGCAAGAACAAGCCACCAAGGATGGCCCGCTTGAAAATAAGTAACCGTAACTTTCTCACCTCAGTGCGTTACCTTTTAAACCCATTGACAATCTTACCATAAAGGATTATGCTGGCATTGGTGATTCCCATGGGGTTCACAGCAACACAGGTGTAGTTCCCGTAGTCTTCTTCCGAGACGTTGAAAAAGACGAGCATCGACTGTTTACCTTGATTCTCTATCTTAACTCCGTTCAGTCCATTGAAAACCCTGTAAGAAAGAAGCATGAAATTAATGCTTGTGCCAGTTACCAATGAGGGAAAGGAGTTCAAATCTCTACTAGAAGTACGACATTTAGACTTATGACCATTAGAAATACCATACACATCTGTAGGCTGTACAAGACGTACATGTTTCACCAAAAAGGCTACAGGTCTGAATGCAGCTCACTGTCTTATGGATGCAGCTGTGCATGCATTTGTGTTCCACAACCTCTGTTTCACTCTGCATTTCCTGTCTCATTGCCCTATTACATGTTTGCAAATGCCAATTATTTTAAAAAGCGACCTCCATCTTTTAGTTCTCAAGGACAGATGTTGCCTATTGGGGACTGACGAGCACTGCTGCTATCACTGTCGGGGACCATTTAACAGTGTAACATAGTCTGTGTTTGCATCGGGTTACCAGCTCTGGGGCTGATTTCCAGGCTCCAGACTAAAGTTGTTAAATATTTCCATGCTATAATATCCTCCAAACCTCCGGGTTAAACACCATACTGACTTTTCAATGGAGAAATAATAATAGTTGCCTTCGGTGTCTGTGCCTGCTGTGCAAAAGATTGGACTGAGTTTGAAAAAAAATAAAAATTAAATGATACATTTTCGTTACATACGGGATATAATCCCTATTCAGAGAACCAAATACAAGGCATGAATAGTTATCTTGTTACATGCAAAGCACAGTGTTATTTTAACAGGAATATTTGGAAAAATTATTATTCATTATTATTAAAGGTGACAGTCTGGATTTGTATTTCTTAAATCTAGCCAACAAACCCTGCAGCTTTACAGGTGTCTCTGATTTTCTTTCATACAGACTTCAAACAAATATATTCCTGTTGAAATCAGAGCTCAGAGGAAAAAAACTTGCCTGCGGTCTTCTTTGTACCACTCAAAATCTGCCCTGGGGACAGCAGAGGCTTCACATTGCAGAGTTCCTTTTTGTCCAACCGGAGTACCCGTACTCCTTGCTTTAGAAATGAAGGGGGGATCTACAAATCAAAGAAAAAAGGTTTTCACTTTGACAGAACATAATTAAATACGTTAACTGATGCTACAGCCAGAATACAAGAAGTGGTTGGTTACATTACTTCAAACTTGATAAACCACACATCTTCTCAGTCTGTGCTAACTGTATTATAAGTGATACCAAAATTATAAAATCACGCTTTGTCATAATGCCAGTACTCTTTTTACTATTTTTTTTTTTGTATTGTTTTTTCTCACATGAACTCTTTGGAGAAGTGCATGTGAGACAAAACCGTAAAACTGAACGAAAAGGAAAGGAAATAGGGCAATCAGTCCTGATAATCACATCCATTACGTTCCCACCATGACTTTAATAGTTTTGATCCTTACAGTTGACAGTGACCTGAACCGTCCTGACATCAGGGCTTGAAATGTCATTTGAAGCAATGCATTCAAAGGATCCTGACTGCTCTTTGGTGACAGCCGTCAGCACCAGATGTTCCCCCTCAGTCACAAACTTTTGAGTGCCTGTAGAGAAGCAGAGGAATGATCGCATTAGTGGACAAGTCCCTGTATCGGCAGCTAAGTGCGCTGTTGACCTTGAATTGTATTAAGTTAGAGCAGTCTCTACCTGCCACATGGTATGAAAAATGTTGAGTCACTAACGTAGAGCACGGCTCCAGCCAAAGCAGGGTCGGCCAATCGGTTGGTCAAACAAATGAATCATTTGGATTAGACAAACTCTTACATGACGCTATTCCAACTTGGGTATCATCCATAAAATATCTGTATTTACAAAGAAAAATAGATTCAAATCAACCGACCACAGTTGTCTGTGTGTAAATTTGGTTATTTGCTCTGTTTCCAAATGTCTGCAGAGGGCTCAGGGCATGCACTCATCACACAAAGAGAATAAACTAATTGCATCGAAGCAAGCCCACTTGAGTAACGGCACACATTACCCCTGACAACAGCGATGTTAAAAGCATGTTCTGGTGGAGGAGAGACCTTAAGCTGTTGTTGCGTGGGTGGGGAAAGGGATAGGAGCATGTGGTGGCGGGCGTGGTTTGGCTCGGCTGCAGAGGGGATGGAGAAGGGAGTGGTTCGGGGAACGCTGCATAACGAGGCATAATCAGCCGCAGCTGAGATTAATCAGTGTGTGTGTTTGTTCTGCCTTGAAGTAGGAGAGATCCGGCGACAGCGAGAGGGCTGAGCAGACGAGGAGGCTGGAGCCGGCTGCCCATGATTGTTGTGAACAGTAAAATAAAGAGTATAGAATGGAACCAACCGCTGCATTCTCGCCATTCCGAGACCCCCCCCGTAGAACGAACCTGTCACAGAGCACTAATCTCAATCAGTAAAAATGTCAATCCAGCAATATCTCAATATTAGCATAATATCATTATATTTTTCATCCGTTGCAGACACTATTGAAGCAGGCTGGGGATTCGGTGGAAAGGTCTAGGTGTAATAAGCATGTTGCATGTAACAAGGGGAACTGCTGGCACAGGTGATTGAACATTCTCATCATGGATATTAGCACGAGAGTTTGTGGCTGGTGCTGGGAGACTGATTTAATGATGGACAAGGGTGAAAGCAAGTTCACTATCATATGTATAATCTAATTACTTTCTTAGATTGTATGTGTTGAAAAAAATTTAAATCTGTAATTTGATAAACACAGTTGAAAAAATGTGGAAAAGTATGATAACGACCAGACATGGATAGAATCCAAGTTTCACAACATGTTACTATTGATGAATGAATATAAAAACAATTACCATCATCATGAACCCACATCAGTTGTCTGCACTGATGGCAATAATTACAGCACATCAGTGTCGGTATAGCATCACTGGATGACTAATAAGAAAGCCATTAAAGTACCGGCTGCAGCCCGCACAAATGAGCGACTAAAAGCACTCTGTGAAGCACCTCAGCCATGAGCTTAAGGAGCTCTGCTGCCTCAACACCACCATGTGCAGTCTTTGTATAAGGGTTACTTACAGGCCAATTACAAGCCTTAAAATAGAAAGACCACTGATTGCTGAAATAAACCTGACTACGTACCATGACAGAAAACAATCAATAGGTCCTTTTAGAACGGGTCTTAAGATAATAAAAAAAACCCGTCTAAAACAGAAGATAAAAAAAGATCTAAAAATGACAGACGCCAACATGCAACTTCATAGCGGAAGTAAAGTTAAGATATTTCATTTTAGTTATTAATAGTATTTGCTTTTACATTACACGTCATTTAGCTGATGCTTTTTTATCCAAAGCGACATACAAAAGGTGAATTTCAACCATTAAGATACAAACTCAAAAGAAGAAACTTGAAAGTGCAATTTCATTAACTACAATTTAAGTGCTACAATTTGTTAGTGTTTTTAGGCAAAGTAGAGTCTGAAGAGGTGTCTTTAGTTTGCGGTGGAGAATGTAAAGGCTCTCTGCGGTCCTGATGTCATCAGAGAGCTCGTTCCACCATTTCGGAGTCCATGGAAGTAAATCTGTGTCATCGGATTTTGAAAGAAAAAGGTGATTGAATTTCTAGCACTGAATATTAATGCATTGAAATCATGTATCTAAATGTTTTTCAATGTTAAAAAATTCAACCGCAACATCCGGGAACCCAAGGAAGAGCAATCGATTCTAGATTCAAGATCGGGAGAGTGCGTCTCGCAAAAGGAGCGAGCGCCCCAATACAACTTCGGCTTGTCGGCTAGCATGATGACCGGATTTCAGCCATGTCCATTAATAATGGGGCTTCCTTGAGTGTTTTAACTTTAACTTTATGCCATCAGTGTGGTTTGTGTCTGTAAGATTCAGTAATAGACAGCTGACACTTGTACATTAACAGACTGTATAGGACATGAACTAAGCGGAAGTTAAACGAGCGTGTACATCTGGTCAGAATACGCATTTTCTTCTAGTTTTGAATTAAGTTAATGATGCTGGGATGCTTCGACAAGCTATTAGGAGTGATTGGCGGAGTTTTGAAACCAGGAACGTGCTTGTAGAGCGCATATGAGCCGCTGCAGCGTAGTGGGGGGGGCAGCGGCTTTAGCGGAGCATGTGCAGACGCATAACCCCGACAGTACATGCAGGTTATGCTGTTTACATGCACCACCATTGCATGTCCAACAGTGATGGGGTTTGATAAAGTCAAACTAGTATCCCAACTTCTACTCAACTGTCTTTACTTTTAAGAACTTTTTAAAAATTTAAACGAGATGACGTTCGGTTGTTGTTTATTAAAGCTCTCAGGCAGATGTCATATATTATATAGTATCATAAAAAAAACCACCAAAAACACGAATATATCAGACATATACACATTATAGTGTGACAACTGTTTATTGTCCCATACGACCTTACAGTTGTGAAGCAGAGATCTGTCACTGAATTTTTAAAAATCCGGTAATCATGCTAGCCGACAAGCCGAAGTTGTATTTGCAGTTGAAATATTTTAATGTGTATTTATTTGCGGTTGAATATTTTAACATTGAAAAACATTCAGATGCATGATTTCAATGCATAAATATTCAGTGCTAGAAAGTCAATCACCTTTTTCTTTCAAAATCCGATGACACAGATTTACTTGTTTTAAACTAGCAATCAAATTAACTCAACAGCAGAATCAACAACAAATTTAGGAGTCTAGCTTGGTGTAAAGAAAATATACACAGTCCGATTTCAGGTTGTCTGGATGTGTGAAGGCCCAGTAGTCGAGATGCACACTGCTTGCTCAAAAGGTACTGTGTGCAGCATTTAAGGGGGTTCATTGGCAGGAATTGATTATCATATTGTTTCACGGTGTGGGTTTGTTTCCTGAAAAGAAGTATTTAAGTGGCTTCCATCATAGGTTATTTGTAGGTAGACTTGGTTTATAATAGAGAATGACGCATCCATCTTGGCAGACATTACAAACAACACAGATAACAAGGCAAAAGTGATAAAAGACGCCTCATGAATTCTCCTAATCACATTTCCTAGACTGGTGGTTAGGAATAGACATTAGGAGGGAATTTTTTGGACCATTTGAATCCAGCCCTCTTCATGGCGCCCCAAGCCTCGTTTCTATAGTAGCCTGGAAGGGTCACACCAGACACTTCATATTTTTGTGTTGCCCACATTATTTCTCTGATAATTGTAATCAGGAAAAGTATAGATGAAGTATGGGTTTTTGTTTTAAGAGTACAAATAGTGCAGTTCCTATTGAGACATGATTCAACCACACTGGCTAGTGGCCATTTTTGCTACTCCTGCTCCCTACACATCCCACCAGTATCTCTACCGAAGGCGTCAGATTTAGTGTGTCTTCAACACCCAGACTTAGTTGAATCCGCCATCATTTTCTGACCTTCCAGAGCCACCTCAACACTCCTTCCACTGCTTCCCTCACCCACAGGAGTGAAAACACTGCATCATATGGGCAGTGTGGCCATACCCTATAGAACTGTTTGGACTCAATGGAGGCCAGAAATCCTCTTACAGCCCTCTCCTCCTTCACCTGCACAGGAGGCGTTTTTCCTCAGATTACACACAGTTAATGTCGCCCCCCCCCCACCCTGTATTTTGATTCTTTACTACAATGGTAGAGTTTAGAGTGTTTCTTACACTGCATGTATAGATAAAGCATTATAATGGCAGTCTGAAATGAGATGGTATTGGACAAAAATTGCTTTTCAGAGCGCCATACTCACAAAAGAATACAAAAGTCTCAGGAGCTCAAGACCTCAAGCTCAAAACTGTTCTTTAAAACAGCTTGAAAATAACTTTCATGGAAATATTAATCTTCAAGGAGATAACAACAAAAGATTTCCTTTTCACCGGCAGAGCCACGTGATCGTCAGCATTGATGATGAACATTAGCTATTTCAAAGATTGTGGACGGGATCAGTCCAGTAGTAGGCCCAAAGAAAGGCAAAGCATTTTTGTTGTAAACCCTGTGCATTAACTGGCAGCCATTGTTTTGTTTCCAAAAAGTCATTCCTCTTTAATAGTCTCTCTTCTGGTCGTACGACTGCAACACGACTAATGCGGCGACGCCAGGACTTAGCTCAAAATCCTCGCTCCATGTCCCACCAGGCCTTAACAATTACCACACTGCTGCATTACTGTTGTGATAGCACCAGTCCCATGGGATTGAGTGCATTACTGCTGTGGCCAGTTTTACTAATGTTGTTTAATGCAGTTGTTGCAATCGAACATTCCGGCAAATTCCTGTAAATCTAGCTTGAAATCAACTTCCCAAAAGAAAATACTCTCCTACTTTATCGGAGTCTTAAACATAGCATTTTCAATGCTTCATGGGAATTCTGGAAACAATATTGGATCAGACATTTGCTATGTTTTTAATGAAGTGCAGTTTGGGGAATTCCGTTCTGTTCCGGCCCTTATCACATTAGCTAAATCCCAATAACATTGGAATTGTGTCTATGTTGACAGATTCCGCTCCTAACTGTTTACTGTATGTCCAGTGTCAGCATTTGATAGTATTATAAGGAGTGTTACCCCACCCATTT